TTTAAAAGAAAATCTTTTGGGGAACTCCCAACTCATTTTAAATTCAATGGAAAAATGAACATTCTTATTAATCCCAGATTTTTTTTTATCACTCAATAATTTTTACTATTCTATTTGAGAAATTGCTTTTAGAAAGATTATTTCCAAAGCTTGAAGTTTAGAATTAAATCCCTGGAACAGGGGGTAGGCCTTGGTTGACAGACTAATCTAAAAAAAATTTTTTTCCAGTGGTGAAGAAAATCCAGGGACTCATGCATGCTAGGCAGATGCTCTACCACAAAGCTATATCCTCTAGCCTGTGGCCTAAAGAATTACTAAAGTATTAGCTTCTAATATATGAAAGGAAATAGGGCTGGAGAAAAGTTCCAGTGGTTAAGAACACTGGCTGCTCTTGCAGAGGATTTCCGTTCCCAACACTCATGTGGCAGTTCACAGCCATCTATAACTCCAATTCCAGGGTATCCAAAGCCCTCTTCTGGCCTCCAGGAATACCAAAGACACACGTGATAAACATACATGCATGTAGCCAAACACTCATGCACATAAAAATAAAAAAAATTTAAACTTTCTGGAAAAATGAAAGGGCCTGGAAAGATGGCTCATTTGTTAAGAGCACTGGCTGCTCTTGCAGAGGACTCAGGTTCAGTTCCCAGAACTCAACATGGCTGTTTACAGCCATCTGTAGTTTCAGTACCAGGGTATATAACGCCACTTTCTGGCCTCTGCAGGCATCACCCATGCATATGGTGCACAGACAAACATGCAGGCAAAATACCCACATGCATGAAAAGTAAGTAATTAGAAATGAGAGAAGATAAAAGGATGATGATGATGATGATTTAGACAGGCTTTCACTATGCAGCCCCAGCTGGCCTGGAACTTGATAAGTAGGCCAGGCTGGATTCAGACTCACAGGGATCCATTCTCCTTTGATTCCCAGATGCAGGGATTAAAGGCTTGCACCACTGTGCTCAACTAAGGAATATTTAAAATAGTATCCAGGCCAGGCAGTAGTGGCACATGCCTTTAATCCCAGTGCTGGGAAGACAAAGGCAGGCAGTCTCCACGAGATGGAGGCCAACCTGGTCTCATCACAAGTTCCAGGGCAGCCAGAAGTACACACTGAGAACCTGTCTCAAAAAAAAAAAAAAAAAAAAAAATTAAAACAATGGCCAGATTGACTCTCACTTTCAAGAAGCTTCAGTGAGCTGCTGCTCTGTCCTTACCATAATTGACAACAACTATATCAGAAACAGCAGAAGGCAGAAGGTAGGTAATCAGAGTCAAGACCAGGCTAGTTCCCTGCTTCTTAAAATTAACCCTGTAGATTCCTCTTCCTGAATTGTACTATATTTTGTTATGTCATGGGGTTTTGCTTTTTTTTTTTTTTTTTTTTTTAACTCTTTCAGTAGTTTGGTGAAGGCCACAAACCCTCTCTCAGGGTCTGTAAGTTAAGTGTTTTCATCATAGCAGGGGGATCTGTTTTGGCTTGCAGTGTCAGAAGTTCCAGTCCTTGGTCAGCTGATCCCATCACTGTGCATCTACAGTGAGGTAGAGCATCATATCGGAGAAGACATGGTGAAGGGCACCATAGGGTAAAGCTGTTCTCCTCAACCATTGCTGGGAGACAGAAAGACAGAGGTGTGTGACAAAATAGAGTCCAGTGACATGATTCCTTTCTCCAATGAAGCCTTACTGCTGATAGTTTCAGTCACTTCCCAGAAATGCCATCAAATTATGAATCCGTCAGTGGATTAATTCACTGATTAAGTCAGAGCCTCTTCCTTTACTGCATTTATGAGCCTGCTAGAGAGATATTTCATATCCAAACTATGCACAGAATAATGTTTGTTTGTTTTTGCTTTTTTCAAGATGGTGTCTCACTATGTAGACCAAGCTGGCCTTGAACTCATACCAATATGTCTGCCTTTGCCTCTGAAGTGCTAATACTAAACTCAAACACCGCCACACTGAGCTCAAAGTAATGTTTTTACATTCATAGTATAAAATACATAGAGGAGTGTATAGTACTTTAAAGTCCTTTTCCTAGCTTACACAAGGCTCTGAGTTTTATCTCCAGTCCAACACACACACACACACACACACACACACAGGTAGGAGAAGCAAGGGAGGGTATGAGAGAGAACTGAAAAATCTTAAGCCAAAACAAAATCTGAAAGAAATTTAAAATCTTTTTGTTGTTGTTTGTTTTTGTTTTTGTTTTGTTTTGTTTTGTTTTTTCCAGATAGGGGTTCTCTGTGGCTTTGGAGGCTGTCCTGGAACTGGCTCTTGTAGACCACTCACAGAGATCCGCCTGCCTCTGCCTTCCAAATGCTAGGATTAAAAGCATGTGCCATCACCACCGGGCTCTCTCAACTTCTTTGGAGTGAAAGGAAGAGGATTTCTAATAGAAGAGGACTGCTTAGTTAAGAGTTACTCTTCTATAATCCCAGCACTTAGGAGGCAGAGGCAGGCGGATCTCTGTGAGTTCGAGGCCAGCCTGGTCTCCAGAGTGAGTGCCAGGACAGCCTCCAAAGCCACAGAGAAACCCTGTCTTGGGGGGAAAAAAAAAAGATGGCTCAGAGGTTAAGAGCAGTCTTCCAGAGGTCCTGAGTTCCATTTCCAGCAACCAGATGGTGGCTCACAACCATCTATAATGAGGTCTGATGGCCTCTGTTGGTATATTGGAATGCATGTAGGCAGAACACTATATACATAATAAATAAATCTTTAAAAAAAAAAAAAACTGCCCCTCCAGGTTCTAGAACACTGTGCAATTTTTTTTCAAGTAGACTACGTGAAATTTCCTTTTTTTTTTTTTTTTTTTTTTTTTTTTTTTTTTTTTTTTTGGACAGGGTCTCACTAGCTGGCCTACAACTTGCATGAAGACCAAACTGACTTCCATCTCACAGAGATATGTTTGCCTCTATTGCCTCCTGAGTGCTGTGATCAAAAGTGTGCACCACCACACCCAGCTTATAAAAATACTTTTAAAATGATTATTATAGGGAGGCAGCAGAGGCAGGTGGATCTCTGTGAATTTGAGGCCAGCCTGGTCTCCAGAGCGAGTGCCAGGACAAGAATGATTATTATAGTAGAACATTACTAGAACCTATAAGCCTATTTAATGTTATTCGTCATATCCATCATAGAAGAATGTTGCTGTCTCCATTGCCAACTAAGTTTGACTGCTTTTCTTTTTCAAATACATGGCAGATCCAGATCCTTACAGTGACTTTTTTTAACCCAGTTAACAGACTATTTCTCACCTACCCTATCCCTTAGGGGTAAATCTATATTTGAAAAAGCTGGTGCACAGAGCTTCTTTAGGGAACTTTCTGTGTCCATTTTGTCCTAGATCTCTTACTTGAACCATGCTCCTCAGGCCTGTTTGCTTTACTGGAAAGGATCTTAGGTCTTAATGCTGAGTTTAGGTATAAATTGGGTAAAGAGGCAGGCTCCGAGGTTAAGAGCACTGGCTGTTTTTCCAGAGGACTCCAGTTCAATTCTCAGCATTCCCATGGCAGCTCACAACTGTCTGTAACTCCAGTTCCAGCACATCTGACACTCTTAATGCCCTTTTTACCTTCTTCTGACTTCTGTGGATACCAGGCATACGCATGATATACACACCTGAATACAAAAACAAAATACAGCCATACAAATAAAATTTTAAAAAGCTTTAAAATTTGGGTAAAATGAGGGAGACAAGACCAGTTTGATGATGTTACCTGACCATATGGGAGCTAGGATGGGACCAATTCCTTTGTGTTTGTTTTGTAAAGGGCCATGTGAAAAGGGCTATAGGTATGCTATTTAGTGGTAAGTTATATGTCTAATGAAAAAGGTAAAAACAAGAGACTAAGCAATCATTGTTTTTAGAAACAAGACAACTAGAACCATGTTTCAGAGCCTTTATGCTAAGGGGCTGTGTAAACCTGCATCGTCCAGCCGTTTCTGTGGCATGGATTTTCAAATGAAAGAACAGGGCCAGTGGCCTCAAAGGGACTTTGAATTACTGCTATTCATCTGTTCCTTTCACCTCCTCCTTTTAAAGGAGTAGCAACATAAATTATTGTCCAGTAACCTTGTTTTAGTCATAAACTGGGGTAGACTTTGCCTTACCTCTTTCTTGTTCTTTCACTGAAACCTCTACACAAGAGTCTGTAATGTCTCCTTTTCTCTCATCCTGCCTACAGGCTCCTCTCTCCCTTTTTTTTTTTTTTTTTTTTTTTTTTGCTTGCACTTTTATTTTGTCATTATACAGCCAGCATTGTACTGGCCCCTTTATGGCTGCTGGAGCCTAGGCAGACTGCCTGATGAAGGAAGACAGCATTTGGCCAATGGGGCTGGTGTGTGCCATTATTGCTGGCCATTGGGCCTCTGTCATCCACAGTTCCATCCTGGCTCATTAAAACTGTGAGCCAAATAGCCGCAAAGGCGCCTGCTGCAGCACTGTGGGGGCCAGGAAGTTAAATGGTTCTCCTAATCCTGCATAATTTATCTCCCTGTTAGTCTGCTCATAAAATACTCCAATTCAGCCCCACCACAGAGAGTTCTGAAATTTCCTGTTTTTGTGATGACCACTGAATTCCCAGTCTTTCTCTTATTTTCTCTTTATTGTTAATATTAAAAGTTGTTTTGCTCTTATTCACAAGTTTACCTTAATGTTTTTTTATGCCTAGACTGTACCTTAGCAACAACAATCTGTCCACTCCCCTAGTTTGTACCTAATGATACAAAACAGTTGGTGCTGTGGTCTCTCTCTTCTCTCTTCCCTGCCTTCATTGCCATTATTTTTCATCTTTTCTATCATTTTCATCATTTTTCTTCTTTTATTTTTCCATTCCCTCTTTCCAGGGAACAGTGTCATTGTAACATGTTTCTGTTTGGTAGGTCCTTTTGAAAGAGCACTGAATGGAAGAAGGGTTGGTTTGGTTTTTTGTTGTTATTGTTTTTTCCCTTCCTTTCTTCACATCTCCATTTCTGTTTCATTTCAGAGATTTACAAATGAGGACCACCTGGCAGTTCATAAACACAAGCATGAGATGACATTGAAATTTGGCCCAGCCCGAACTGACTCCGTCATCATTGCAGGTATTTGCTGCCCCTGAAAGTCACAATCTTTGCTATCACCAAGCAGTTAAGATTAACTCCAGGACGCAGATGTCCTGGGAGCTGCACCCCTTTCTCCTGTCAAGACCCCTTTTGTGATCTGCATTTAATCAAGAATAGGCAGAACTAACAGACCCCTGGTTCCTACTGCACCTCCATTCTATTTTTAATAGTGTACTTGTAGCTACTTCTGTAGCTTCTGAAGACAGGTGTTGTGAGATCTTGTCTCCACTTTTTTCAGTCTATTCTCTCCTTGCCTTCTATTTATTAAGATTTTGGAAGAGCTACAAACAAAAAAATACTGTTGACATTTCTTCTTACCCACTGTAGAAGAGGTGAACAAAAGAAAGCAAAAAAGCTCTTTTAGCCTGGCTACTTCTCTTCCATTGGGTATCAGTTTTCCTCTAGCAAGCAGATTATCCGTTCAGAAATCAACTTCCCTTGTGAACTCAGACAACATTGAAGGTGCTTTTCCAAAACACAAAGAAGACATTTAGTCATTGGGATTTTCCTAAACCAATTTGGGTAACCTGGAACCTCTTACCAATTGCAAATATCGTTTGCACCATACTCAAGAGAGCATTCTTAGCACTTGTTTCCAAGCCCTGCAGTAGTTCTTCTGTGCAGTTTACAGCTAGATAGATGTGCAGAGTGGGCTTTTTCTTTGGATGCTCTAAGAGCTTCTAATTTAACCTACGCTAAACAGATTTAACTTAATATTTAATTAGTAATGTATTTAGTTGATGGTCATTACATCAATTAATAAACTAATTAAGTTGTAATTTTAATTACTACTTGCAAAAATGTTACTTTCGACATGGAAAAGGAAACAAAACCTCCTCTCCCTGTTAATGCATATGATGAAAAAGACTTGGCCTTTTATGTCTCCTACTCCTTATTAATTCAGCATGTATTGAGTATCTACTGATTTACTGTGTGGCTAGTCACTTTTCTAGGAGTTTATAGATTTGTGACTTGTAATCCCTGGGAAAAGGATATGAGCAGGGACAATATCAATGATTTTTTTAAAGACAGGGTCTCACTATATAGCCTTGGCTAGCTTTGAATTCAATATGTAGACCAGGTTAGCCTGGAACTTACAGAGAGCCACCTGCCTCTGCCTCCTGAGTGCAGCTATTAAAGGCATGCACCACCACACCCTGCTTTATTTATTTTATATTATGAGGTCAGGGAGTGTCTATGAGTGCAGGTGTCTGTGGAAGCCAGATCCCCTGGAGCTAGAGTTACAGTTGGTTATGAGCTGCCTGCTATGGGTTTAGGGAACCAAACTGGGGTCTTCTTGAAGAGCAGTATTCACTCTTAACTGCTGAGTCACCTAGCCATCCACCCCTTTTTGAGACTGGATCTCACTGTAGAGCCCAGGCTCACCTGGAATTTGAAATTGTCTTCATTTACTTCCTGGAAGCTGGAATTGTAAGTGTGAGCCACTGTGTTTGACAGAGAAAGTGTTTTTTACTCCTTGCATTCAGTTCTGGAGTGTTCAAAACCAGTGCATAGGTCTTTAACTTTCCTATGTAGGCAGGTGATTGTATCTCCCATTAAAGACACAGTATAGGTATGCCAAAATATCCCAACCCCTTGATTGGATTGGGATACCTTGAGTTAGCTATAATTCAGATCTTCATTGCAGTGACTGAACATGCCTCCTAAAGCAGCCCTTCCTCTCTGTTACTCACTGTTCTAGTCCTTCCATTTAACAGACAGCATTCTATCACTGAACAAAGATTGAGAAAAATCAACTTGTAAATAGAAAAAGTTTGAGCAAGGTGTGGTGGTGCATGCTTGTAATCTGAGCACTTGGGGAGTAGAGGCAAGAAAAAGTTCTAGACCATACTCAGCTACATAGCAAGTTAAAGACTAGCCTGGGCTGTATCAGATGATCTCAAAAAGAAGAAAGAGAGCCAGGCATTGGTGGCACACACCTTTAATCCCAGCACTCGGGAGGCAGAGGCAGGTAGATCTCTGTGAGTTCGAGGCCAGCCTGGTCTACAGAGCGAGCTCCAGGACAGGCTCCAAAGCCACAGAGAAACCCTGTCTCAAAAAAAAAAAAAAAAAAAACACAAAAGAAGAGAAAGAAAATGAGAGACAGAGAGATGGGGACTACTTTCGCTTAGTTTTGGAAGCTTCTGTCCATGGTCAGTTGTCATATTATAGTGGTGAATGTGTGGAAGAAAAAGCTATTCTCCTCCTGGCTAGGACACCAAAGAAAAAAACAGCAAAAGCCCATAGTTCTCTTCAAGGAAATGCTCCTAATGACCTAAAATTACCCCATTGGGTTCTAGCTCTTACAGGTCCCTTACCACCAAGGACTGGGGAGCCAGAATTTCACTAATGGGTATTTGGGTGGCATTCAAACCGTAGTAATCTTCTTCTTTGCACCAATCCCGTTATGTTTGTATTCATTCTTCTCCATCTTGCAAGCTTTTAAAAAGCTAGTCTTTTTATTCTGTTCTTATGGTCACAATCTCTCATTATGTTTTCTCTTTAAGGTTAACTTATATCTGGCTTTTCAGACTTTCCATATACTAGCCCTATGGTACTTACCCAATTTTATATGCAAGTTACATGCATAAAATGCCTATCTTTTCACCTAAACATACTGTTTTTTCCTAATCTGTATGTGATGACCATTCCCTGCCTTTCTCTATGCCTTCACCAGCATTATTACTCTTAGCTCTTAAAATTTCTCTTTTCTCTACAGTTCCAAACCATTTTCCAAGGATCTCAAGTCCTGCTTGAAATCTTTCCAAACAACCCTAGTAGTGAAATTAATGTGTACTTACTTTTATAATAATTTTATTCTGCATCTCGCCAGGTGTTGGTGGCACATGCCTTTAATCCCAGCACTCAAGAGGCAGAAGTAGGCGGATCTCTGTGAGTTTGATGCCAGCCTGGTCTACAGAGCGAGCTCCAGGACAGGCTCCAAAGCTACGCAGAGAAACCCTGTCTTGAATAATAATAATAATAATAATAATAATAATAAATAACTTTATTCTGCATCTCAAATAGCACTTATTTTTGTACAATGTGGTGCTATCTACATTTATTAGTTTTATTTCCTTAACTAAAAAGCATTCTCCTAATTCTCTGTAGAAAGATCCATGTCTTATGTTTGGCTTATACTCTTATCTCCTTTCTAGATTTGCATCCAAGTTCATGATTGTAACATTAAAACATACAGAAGTATTCACTAAACACTTGGGAATCATCAGAACAGACTAGATTTGTTTATATATTTTCAGATTGTTTGTTCAGAAACCAGAAGCAGTTGAAGGTTAGAAACCACCGGGAAGAGCCACCTGGAAGATGAAGAATTAGGTTTAGTACAGGGGAAATTTTCTTTTTTTTTTTTGTTTTTGTTTTTGTTTTGTTTTGTTTTGTCATTTTGTTGTTTGTTTGCTTGCTTGCTTGCTTGCTTGCTTGTTTGTTTTTTAAGACTGGGTTTCTCTGTGTAGCTTTGGCTGTCCTGGAACTTGCTATGTAGACCAAGCTGGCCTCAAACTCAGAGATCTGAGTCACCTGCCTCTGCCTCCTCTGCTAGGATTAAAGGTGTGTAACACCACCACCCGGCCAGGGGAGATTTTAAAATTAAACAAAGAAATGAACATGGGCAGCACGATATAAGAGAAGTTTGTATGACTCAGACCAGAAGTCTCAAAGCTCTTCTTCTGTCATCACTGTATCTTTAGTTGCCCCTTCTGTCCCACTTGAGTTGTGATTTATGTGAGTACCCTTACTGAGGATGATACCACCTCTCCTAGTGTGACAAGCAGCTTTATCTTTAGCCAGCCAAAGCAACCAAAGAACCTTTTAGAACTGTTTGAGGAGGTAGTGGTAATTTTTCTAAACACTTTGATTCAGAAGAGGTTTTATTTAAGTTTTAAAAAGAAAAATGTTTCCATGGAATATCACTCCTAACTATTTGCAATTAATCATGCTAAAAGGAAAAATTTTAACCCCCATATCTTCCTTTAAAATATAATTGAAACATTATTCTATCAGTCAGTCTAATTGATTGGAAGAGGAGATGAATTCTTGAGGTGATAAGCACATCAAAGAAAACCATCATAATAGAATTAGTGGCCAAGGGAACAAGACTCAACTTTAGAAAGCAGGGGAGAGACAGACAAGCTAAGATCTGAAGTTTCAGTTCCTTGAAAAGTTCCTATAGTTTATGAAGAACTATGAAAAGTTCTTATACCTCCTTAAGAACAATGAAGCTAGTCTTTGTGACATTCCTGTAATCCCAGCACTTGGGAGGTAGAGGCAAGAAGACTGTAAATTCCAGGATAACCTGGGCTTTTCTCCAAAAAAAGAAAAGAAAAAGCAGAGGCAGTGTGTTGAGAAAAAGTTTTGCACAGCCCCTGTGGGGATATTTTGACCAGCAAATCTAAACCAAATAGCCTGATTTCCGGAATTTGTTCTGGGCCCATGTCTCTGTGAAATAAGTGCTATTGTTTGTAATTTCCTTTTGTAACTCATGATATTACTGTCTTGTTCCCCAGTCCCTAGATTTGCTTAGAATGGCTTCAGAAAGGAACAGACTTTGATGAAAGGCAGGCACCATTCCTTATTAGGTAGCTTGAGTGAGCAAACTGAGCAATCTGATCCTTAGTTTGTCCTCTCTGTCAGATTTTAACACCCATCTGTTTCTTTTTTCTTTCTTCGTTTTTATTTTTTTTATTTTTATTTTTTATTTATTTTATTTTGGTTTTTTGAGACAGAGTTTCTCTGTGTAGCTTTGAAGCCTGTCCTGGAACTAGCTCTTATAGACTGGATTAATCTCAATTTCATCAGAGATCTGCTGCCTCTACCTCCCAAGTACTGGGATTAAAGACGTGTGCCACCACTGTCTGGCACACCCATCTGTTTATATCTACTCCCTGCAGACCTGGCAGAGTGTGTATTTAGAAGGGAAACATTGCTTAACTAATTTTTAAACCTAGAGGTTTCGTGAATCTTTGCTTTCATAAATGGTCTGTTTTATTGGGTTTGTGTTTTCATTGGGGGTGAAAGATGTAAGTCCAGCACTGAGAGAAGGTGGGTTTGTAACTAGTCACACAGAACATTGTTCTGTCTTCCCCTGCTGGCCCTGAGACAGCACAATACAGACACTCTCTGGTAGACTAGAACCATCGTCCATCCATTAAAACTCCCAAAAAGCCCATTTACCCTAGCATAGACTTTCCATGTTCAAACAGAAGAATAAAAATACAATCCCAGTGCATTCTTGTTTTAATCTTATATTAAAACTAAAACACATTTTCTTTTCTTTTTATGTCTACAGATCAAACACCTACTCCAACTAGATTCCTGAAGAACTGTGAGGAGGTGGGGCTCTTCAATGAACTAGCTAGTTCCTTTGAACATGAATTTAAGAAAGCTGCAGATGAAGATGAAAAAAAGGTAAGTGTGACTAAAAAAACTGGTAGTGGTTAGACATAGGCTATTTTCATTGTGCCTTGAGATAATTTATTTGCTTGTCTGGTTAAAATCCCAAATCATGGATTAGTTCTATAAAATCAGATAGTGCTCAGTAATCCTAGTCCTTCATCCAGGTCTTTTAGGGGCAAGGGTGAAATGGGTCTCACCACATAAATGGGGATAGCCTAGCTTAACCTCGAGCTCATGGTGATCCCCTTTCTTCATTGTATTGAAGCCTGGACTGACAAGCCTGTGCTACCACATCAAACACCCAGCATCAGGTAGAGGTCTAGCTGTGGTTGCTGGGTTTTTAACTCAGATCATATTTAGTTTTCTGATAGTCCCCTCAGTAATCTATTTGTTTCCCTTTTAAATATGTGGAAAAAGTTAAAAGAATATGGGGGGGGGGCTTCTGAGAGATGGCTCAGTGGTTAAAAGTGTTTGTTGCTCTTACAGAGGACCCAAGTTCAGTTCCCAACACCCATGCTGGTAACTCACAACCACTCCAGGAGATCTGACGCACACTTCTGGCTTCCTGTGGCACAAATATACACATGTTGTTCACATAAATAGTAATAAAAGTTGTGAAGACTATGAATTGGGAGGTTGAGGCAGAGGATTACAGAAGATTCAAGGTCAGACTGAGCTATATAGTAAGTTGCAGGTCAGCTTGAACTACAGAGACACTAACTCAAACAACCAAACAAAAGTATGAGTTACTCAGATTTTGTTAGGTAACTTTTATTTTTTATTTTTATTTTATTTTATTTTTTTTTTGCCACTTATCTTGCGGGAGGGGAAGAATAGAGATAGAGCTCAGTGGTAGAGTGCTAACACATGCTAGGACCTGAGCTCACACACTCCCCACCCTCAGTATAAGAAAACAAGTACTACTGTTTATAAACTGATTGGCTTGGACGTGGTCAGTGATACCTATAATCAGGGTTTCTCCCTACAGTTTGGGCAGTTTTTATTTATTTACTTATTTTTTTATTATTAATTAATTCACTTCTTTTGAGACAGGATCTCACTGCTAAGTAGCCCTGGCTGGCCTCAAATTCATAGACATTTGCGTGCCTCTGCTTCCTGAGTACTGAGATTAAAAACTCACTTATGTTATTTTTATTCATTTTCCAGCCAATAAATATGTTGAATTTCCTCTGTTTTGTTTCCATATGTGTGGTTTTGTATTCAAGTAGCTTTCTAGTGCTACTTGAAAATACCTAGGGCAGTGGTTCTCAACTTTCCTAGTGCTGTGACCCTTTAATACAGTTCTTCATGTTGTGGTGACCCCCAAACATAAAATTATTTTCATTACTACTTCATAACTGTAATTTTGCTACTGTTATGAATTGTAATGGAAATATCTGATATGCAGGATATCTGATATGCAACCCCTGTGAACCGGTTGTTTAAGCCTCAAATGATCCACAAGTTGAGATCCACTGACTTAGGGCATTAAAGAGAAATGTTTTTAGCTGAGTGTGATGGCACACAACTGCATTTGCCACACTCATGAGGCCGAGGATCACTACAAACCACAAGTTTGAGACTGTTTTGAAATCAAATGAGGTTGTTCTTATTACTTTGCAAAGATCAGTCAGGATGATGAAAGAAGTTAGGTCACCTTAGGAACATTTCAAGAAATTGAGAAAGTTTTTGCTTAGAACAAAGATTTAATATGAACAAAAAGTGCAGTCTTTAGGGGCTGGAGAGATGAATCAGTGGTTAATAACACTAGCTGGTCTTCCAGAGGTCCTGAGTTCAATTCCCAGCAACCACATGGTGGCTCACAACCATCTGTAATGAGCAGATCTGGTGCCCCTTGTGGCCTGTAGGGATACATGCAGACAGAGCACTGTATACATAATAAATAAATAAATCATTTTTTTAAGTGCAGTCTTGAAAGACTTCAAAGGTTTTTGTATAAAAGAAGGATTACATGGCAGGCATGGCTGTATACAGTTGTAATCCCAGCACTCAGCAAGCTGAAGCAGGAATATCTTAAGTTTGGCTGCTTAACAAGTTCTAGACTGCCTGGTAAAACTCTGTTTCAAGCTAAGCAGTGGTGGCACACACTTTTAATCCCATCACTTGGGAAGCAGAGACAGGCAGATCTCTGTGATTTTGAGGCCGGCCTAGCCTACAGAGCAAGTTCCAGGACAGCCAGGGCTACACAGAGAAACCCTTTCTTAGGGGAGTGTGGGGTAGGGAGGGGGGTGGGACACAACTCTTGTTTCAAAAGAAAAAAATTTTTTTTAATTTATTTAGAGGCTGTCTCAGTTGGTAAAGTACTTAGTTAGCACACACAAGTCCTCAACACTGCATGAACTGGGCTTGGTGACACACACCTGCAGTCATATCATTCAGAAGGTAGAGGTAAGAGGAGCAGGTTCAAAGTCATCCTCAGCTCTATACCAAATTCAAAGCTACCCTGGCATACATGAGACTCTGACTCAAAACAAAACAAAGGTGTTAAATTTAGAGAACTGGGAGCTGGAGAGATGGCTCAGAGGTTGTTCCGCACTGATGTCTTTAGGACCGTGGACGGAACCAGCCATACAGTCCCGGGTCCGTTTCTGAGTGGAGGTGTGTGGACTAGGGAAGTTTAATTACCCAACGATGCTAATGATGAGACAGGAAACGCCATATCATCTCAGGAGGGCTCCCAGCTGACCGAGCGGCCCCAGTTTAATGAGAGGTCTATTTAAATAGTCCTCTAAGGGCAGGGGTAACATCAGGAAGCATCTTTTACAATACATATCGCTAACATCAAGTGATTCTGTTGCCTAAACAACTCTTGGTCAAGCAGGCAGAGTCTTGAGTCCAGGTATGGGCCTACTCAAGGCTTAAGCTACAGAGATGCAAATTAGGAGGCATATCAGCCTGGTGTTAATTAACAATACAATGGTGACGGGGGTGGGGGGGGGTTCCCTGGCGCCACCACTGTTTATGTCAGCCAGGGCCTGGATCCCAGAATATTCCATAACAGGGATATTCGGTCCCCCACCATTCCTCTCTCTTAAATTAAAAAAAAGAAATCTGTCCCCCCCCACAAGAGGTTAAGAGCACTGGCTGCTCTTTAAGAGGGCCTGAGTTCAATTCCCAGCAACCACAAGGGGGCTCACAACTATCTATAATGAGATCTGGTGCCCTCTTCTGGCCTGCAGGCACACATGCAGGCAGAACACTGTATACATAGTAAATAAATCTTTAAAAAACAAAATTAGAGAACTGGAGAGATGATGGCTTAGTGATTAAGAGCACTTACTGCACTTGAAGGCAACAGGGGTTTGTTTTTCAGTACCCACAACCGTCTGTAACTCCAGTTCCATGGGATCCAAAACCTCTTCTAACTTCCTCAGGTTCCTGAACGTGCTGCATATATACCCTTAGGTACATATACACATGTGAAGAAGAGGAGAAGAAGGAAGGAAATTAAATTTATTCTTTTATTTTCTTTTTTCTTATTCTTCTCATATATACATCTCAACCACTAAATTTATTGTGGCCCAAAGACTGAAGCAGAACAACTGTGTAAAAGATACCATAATGTTCAGATACATGAATATACTTAGTAAAATACTTTAGTAAGGACTACAATGTTGGGGTTCCTTCTGATTCTAAGATACTGTGATACTAGTTTTAACTTTTGTATGTCCTATATCCCTAGAGAGTGTCTTCATTTAGAAGACTAAAAGATAGTTTTGAAAAATCAAAATCAAAAGAAAGTGATCTCAATGGAATAAGGGGCTTGTAGGGGAAAGAAATATGGAAAGATCAAATCAGGTGTGGTAGTGTGTCCCTGTAGCACTTATGAGGCAGAAGCAAGAGTGTCACAAGTCAAACCAGCACTTGGAAGGCAGAGGCAGACAGATTCCTGTGAGTTTGAGGCCAGCCTGGACTACAGAGTGAGTTTCAGGACAGCCAGGGCTACACAGAGAAACCCTGTCTCAAAAAAAGGACACAGGTCATAGGCCAGTCTGAACTACACAGCAAGACCCTGTTCAAAAGTAGGCAGGGGAGAAGAATGATCAGTTTACTCTAGAAGTCAGGGTTATTAGCCACTGGTTAAAACTAGGTCTAGGTTTTGGGGCCTAGAGAGATAACTGGTCCAAATACTTCTAATCAATTCCCAGAATCCATGTTGGGCATCTTATAGCCACCTGTAACTCCAGCTCTAAGAGATCTAATGCTTCTAGCCTCCACAGGCACCCACACACATATACACATACCCACACAGAGACACACATATAAACATAATTAGTAATAAATCTTTAAAATCAGGTCTGTAATTACATCATACTTCTATATATATATATATGTGTGTGTATGTATATATTAACGCATGCACCTCACAGTTGTGTGATATAAGTAGAGAACTGACTCTCAAAAGTTGTCCTCCAACTTCTACATGCACACCGTAGCACACACTTGATCACAGATATGTACACACACTAAATAAATAAGATGAAGAAAGAAAGAAAATTAAAAATGTTTACATTTCCTACTTCACTGCTTTATCTTTCCTGCTGCCATTTTTAGCTCACTTGACACTTTCCTCAGTGTCATTTGGTGTGTCTCTCTGGCCATCGAGGAGTATTTTACTTTCCCTTGATGAGAAGCACAGATGTAGAATATTATCTCCAGGGGTAGTTAATGATCCTGAAACTTTGCTGAACCACAATTTTTATAGCAGATGTCTCTTGGGAATTCTAAAGGGAAGTTGTTTTATTTATTCTTTCCCTAGAGGCATCCCTTCCCATCAATGTGTTGTCTTCAGAGATCTCAGAATGAGCTAAATTGGCTCTGAAAAAGTGAATCAGAAATAAAATCATTTGATGTTTCTCACCCTTATGAAATGTTACTTCTTTAGTACAGTACACTGAATTAGTTTGCTACTTAGGCTTCCAGGGGTTAAGGTAGCAAGTGATGGTGTGCATCTGTCATCCTGACACTTGGGACATGGAGGTAGAAAGATCCTAAGTTCAAAGCCAGCCTAAGCTACATAGTTGAGACCATGTCTGGGGGAAGTAGCAAAGGAAGCAGTAGGAACAAACTTCCCTTTCATCAAGAAGCCTAGGAAGAAGAGAACAAAGGATCCACTTTGACATGAGACTGAACTGTCATGTACAGCATCAAGGTTGTTATCTCAGATGGTTTACTATTCCCTGCAAAGCCCTTTATAGCTCTAGTTCAATCACGTAGTTGTACCTCTGCCAGGAAAGTTCTCTACTTTCTGGTTTCACTGGTACTGCCTCTAAGGCCAAATTCTAATTTTTTCATTGATGAGATGACCAGCCTTTCCTTTCTTTATTATACCCAAACCCTGTATGCCTAAAGTTTCTAGCCTCCTGCCCTAAACTGATTTTGACCACCATCTAGCATGGTAGGTTCCCCATAAAAGATCTTTTCTATCTTGTTTGCAGTACTTTAATATCTAGTTTATCTTCTGTTGCTTTTGGAAACTGGTTAACTAAGGCATTATGGTTGGCAAAGAGTGTTCACAGCTCTTCAAAGACCAGCAAAGCTGGTTGGGAATTGATTAGTAATTGATTCTTAAGTCCCTTTACTTTGCTGGGGGAAAATTATACATGTAATATTTGCATGGATTTAATTGGCATTTATTTTGCATGTTTTTAAGCATTATAAGTACTTGCTTGCAACTGATGTTATCTTCATTTCATAGTTAATGAACAGAAACTCCAAGAAGATACAGTGACTTGGCCAGAGTCTACATGAAGCAGTTCAGTGCTTTGACCAAGAGCTGAACTTGGTAAAGCAAATGCCCTCGTCTCATCATGAGCATCAAGAAACTGAATTCTATTTACTGTTTTCCCAGGGTGCTGCTGGGCCTCTTGACATGTCTCTGCCTTCAACACCAGACATCAAAATCAAGGAAGAGGAGCCAGTGGAGGTAGACCCGTCACCCCCTGACAGTCCTGCCTCTAGTCCCTGTTCCCCACCACTAAAGGAGAAGGTAAAATTTTCTCCCAGAAGTCATCCCAAATGTTAATTTTGATTCATAAATGGTGTAAGAAGGATTGACTAGATTCAAAAGAATGAATGTTCTTTTCCTCATTTCGTTTCTTCTCTCTCTTCCTCTCTCTCTTCCTCTCTCTCTCTGTCTCACTCTCTTTCTCCCTCTCTCCCTCCCTCCCTCCCTCCCTCCCTCCTTCTTTCTGTCTCTCTCTGTCTGTCTCTGTTTCCTGCATCTCATTGATGTAGCCCAGGCTGGACTTCATTGAACTCAGTGCTCCTGCCCTAGTCTCCAATTTGGATACATATTTCTATACATAGTTTGAAAGGAATCTTTTTGTTTGTTTGTTTTGGTTTTTTGAGACAGGGTTTCTCTGTGTAGCTTTGGAGCCTATCCTGGCACTTGCTCTGTAGACCTGCCTGGCCTCGAACTCAGAGATGTGTCTGCCTCTGCCTCCCGAGTGCTGGGGTTAAAGGCATGAGCCACCAACGCCCAGTGAAAGGAATCTTAAATATTTAAGCAATGTAAATAAATTATGCCTATTCAGTCATCCATCAATCCCACTTCTAATTTTAAACTGAAGAGAGTTTAGTTTGTATGTGTACCAACAGAAATAAGTAAGACTGTTAATAGAAATTTTATTCATTTAAGAAAAAAATGTATCTGGGAGCTGGAAAGATAGCTTAGTGGGTAAAAGTGCTTGCTGTAAAAGCATGAGAACTCAAGTTCAAATCCAGAAAACCCAGGTAAACTTACCACCCAGGCACAGTAATATGTGCCTATAATTCCACTGCTCCTACTATGAGATGGCAGGTACAGATAGATAGAAAAATACCTAGCCTGGTGTTTACAGTGGTAAAAGAAAAGCCCCTGTCTCGAAATAAGATGGAAGGGGAGGACCAAACTCAGTAGTTGTCCTCTGACCTCCACATGACCACACTCACACACAAACATACATATACCACATACATACTAATTTTAGACGGGAGAATGAAAACATTCCAAGTATCAATCAACCAAAACAAATGATCAATTGTGAGAGGCTGGTGGTGTGTCTCAGGATAGTACTTGCTTAGTTAGTGTTCATAATGCCCTGAATTCCATCCCAGCAACAAGCAAATAGTGATATATTTCTAAAGTGGAATATGATATACATGGCATTGGATGAACTAGGCTGAGGATGAAATTTAGTGGTAGAGTACCTGCTTATCCTGTGTAAGGCTATGGGCTCAATCCTGAGTACCACAAAAAGAAAGAAAAAAGAAGGGGGAGGGAAAGGAGGGATAAAGGAAGGGTGGGTGGGTGGATGGATAGATGGATGGAAGGAATACATAGCAATATGCATAAATTTCACAAACAGTAACAAAAAAGAGACAAAAGTACATATTATATGGTTCCATTTATAGGAGGTTCAAGAAGATGCAAAATTATTTGATGGAAGATCTCAGTGTGGTGGTGTATAGCAGTAGTGGCAACTGCTAAGGAGGCTGAGGTGGGAGGACCAGCCTGGGGAGCACAGCAAGATGCTATCACAAAGAGGATCCCACAAAGGGGACAAAGAGAAAGAAGATAAACAGAATAGTGGGTACCTCTCATGATGGAAGAATGTGAATTAGGAAAGGACACAGGAAAACCTTGGGTGCTGGAAATGGTCTTCATCCTGATTTTGCTTGTGCAAAAGTAATTTCATTGTAATGCCTTTAAATAAATTATATATACTTCAGTAAGTAAAAAAGAAGTCAGGTATGGTGGCACATGCTTTTAGTCATAGCACTTGGGAGCAGAGGTAGGTAGATATCTGAGTTCAAGGCCAGTCTTTTATATAGTGAATTCTGGGTCAGGGCTACATAGTAAGACCCTGAGTTTTGTTTTTTAAAAAAGAAAAAAAAAGAAAGAAAGAAAGAAAGAAAAGAAAGGAAAAAAGAGAAATTAGGCATGGTGGTGCACACCTAACATCACTTTGGAGTTCCAGGTGAGTTCAAAGCTTGCCTGGACTGGATTGCATAAAAGCTTGTCTCGATTTTTTAAGAACTACAATTCCCAGAATCCCAGGAGGTTACCTGGTCCTTGGGCAGTGCTCCCATTATGATTACTACACAAGTGGGCAAGCCTCCTGGATCTCCTGAGAGAATGCCCAGAGATGCAAAGCTTGCACAGACAATCCCAGTGGAGTGTGCTCAGAAGGCTGCAGAGCTTCGGTGAGAGCTAGCATTCAGTGCCTCAACCCATACTGAGCAGAAACAGTTAAGGATTTTGTTTTGTTGGATTTTGACAGCTTTTCTTCACCCCTGAGGAAAAGAGATTTTATTTAGAAATAGGTTCAGTCGGAGACATTAAAAAAAAAAAAAAAAAAAAAAAAATTTGTCTCAAAAGAAAAAATAAAAATGGCAGCAAGATGTCTCAGTAGGTAAAGGTATCTTCTGACAGCCTGAGTTTGATCCCCAGGACCTGCCTGCATGGTGGAAGGAGAGACCTCTGATTTCCACAACCCTCCAACCACAAATAAATAACTAAATGTATCTTTTAGTAAAAAAAAAAATAAATAAAACCATATAATTTGTTAATTAGACATGTCTTTTACTTAGGGTTACTATTGCTGTGATGTTTGACTTACACTTCCACATCACAGTTCATCAAGGAAGTCAGGACAGGAACTTGGACAGGGCAGGAATCAAGAGGCAGGAACTGCTGCACAGGCCATGGAGGAGTGTTGCTTACTGGCTTGCTCCCCATGACATGCTCAGCCTGCTTTCTTATAGAACTCAGGACCATCAGCCCAGGGATGGCCCCACCATAATAGGCTGGTCACTCCCCCATCAACCACTAATTAAGAACGTGCCCTAAAGGCTTGCCTATAGCCAGATTTTATGGAGGCATTTTTCTCAGTTGATGTTTCCTCCTTTCAAATAACTCCAGCTTGTGTCAAGTTGACATAAAACTAGCCAGCACAAGACATTAAACTATTAGGAAAAAAAATTCTCCCAGAGGGAAATAACTTAAAGGGAATATTTGTTAAGAGTGTTAGCTTTTGGTTGTTGTTCTGTTTTAAACTTTTTTTTTGGGGGAGGGTTTCGAGACAGGGTTTCTCTGTGTAGCTTTGGAGTCTATCCTGGCACTCCATCTGGAGACCAGGCTGGCCTCGTGAGTTCGAGATCCACCTGCCTCTGCCTCCCGAGTGCTGGGATTAAAGGTATGCTCCACCAACACCCGGCATTAAACTTTATTTTTCTTGAGACAGTCTCATAATGTAGCTCAGACTGCCCTGCAACTGACAGTAATACTCCTGCCTCAGCTTTCCAAGTGCTGTGATACAGGTATCCTCCGCCACACTTGGCTCATTTTGGTTTGGTTTGGTTTTTCTGTGTAGTGCTCGCTGTCCTGGAACTCACTCTGCAGACCAGGCTGGCCTCAAACTCGGAGATCCGCCTGCTTCTGCCTCCTGAGTGCTGGGATTAAAGGTGTGCACCACCACTGCCTCCTATACCTGACAATTTTTAAAGACCACTTTTTTTGACATATAATACATGTACATAGTGGTACATGCACTGTAATTATAGAGCTCTCTGACTTTCCAGAAAGTAAATAATCTTAGTAATCAGCACCTAGATGAAAACCAGATGATATCAGAGCTTCAGAAGCCCACTTACATCTCCTTCCAGACTCTACTGTCTTGCCAGTGGCTAATTTTAACGTGTACTATGGACAGAACATCTGTACCTCATCTTGCTTGGCTTCAAATTTGACATGCTAAGTTCTCAAAGCTATTGTCTCCACAAATATTAGCCATCTCCTTCCCTCCCTCCCCTTTCTATAGGCAACTAATTTCTGGAGACTAGAGATGTTTTTAAGGCCCGTATGGCCACTGATGGTCTAAGACCCTAACTAATTAACAATGAGAAGCATTATGTTCTATTTCAATCTGATAGCTGCTTAAGTTTCTATAGACCTTGTTTAATCAAGTCCATTGGAAACAATGGATTGTCCCACCACCAGTAAACCTTGCTTTTCTCATTGGAGGTCATAGGACACTTCAGTATTATTTAGAGTGAGAGTATTTGTAGGGTAGAACACCCCTAGAATTTATATGATACTATAGTGTTACATGGTACAGCATTTCTCCAAAGATTTCAAATGATTTTCCAGATGATCTTAAATCATTGTTCCTACTGAATGGGTGAGGTATGGGTGCATGATTGTGATGGAATTGGGTCATTTATTTGTAACTAATGCTCTTTCAGTGAAAGTACCAACTGTGTATTTCCCTATACACAGTTCTTAACATTTTGAAACTTGTTGTCTCCTCTCCCTAGGAACTTGCCACAAAACCTGTTTTGATTTCTACCCCTACACCCACTATCGTACGTCCTGGTTCTCTGCCTCTCCACTTAGGTTATGATCCACTTCACCCAACTCTTCCTTCCCCAACCTCTGTCATTACACAGGCTCCACCATCTAACAGGCAAATGGGGTAAGTAGGAGAGTAGGAGAAACTGTGAACCTGGATTTCCTTTGGTTTTTTGAAACAGAGTTTCTCTTGTAGTCCTGGTTGTCCTGAAACTCATTCTGTAGACCAGCCTGGCCTCGAACTCAGAGATCCGCCTACCTCTGCCTCCTGAGTGCTGAAATTAAGGTGTGTGCTACCACCCACTGGGCTTTTTTTTTTTTTTAAGATTTATTTTTATTACCTTTTAAAATTATGTGTAGTGTGTGACTTCCTCTGAGTATGTTCACATAAGTACAGGTGCCCTCAGAGTCCAGAGGTGTTGTCAGATCCCTAGGATCTGGAATTATGAGCTACCCAATGTGAGTGCTGTAAACAGAACTGGTCTTCTATAATATATGAAGAACCATCTTGTGCCCTTCTGAATCTCTGTGCTTTGAAATTATTTGATAAAAATAGAAACTGTTGTATTGTTGTTCTCAGATTTGTTGTTGTTTTGAGACACAGTCTTTCTAAGTGGCCTCAGATTCTCATGATCCTACTTCTGCCTCCTGCATGCTGGGCTTACAGCTATATGCTACTGAAGCTGGCTCCAGGCATTTATTTAGTAAATTAGTTACTAAGATTGTTTCCTAAAATAAAACATTTTCAGGAAATTGTTTTGCCAAAGGAGATGTCTGTTTAATATTCCCAGATTCCTAGTAGAGTTACCTCCTGGCCATTAAATTCAATTAATTTGAAAATTATAAAGTTTTTTTGCTAGACTGTGTGGCTGGAAACATAGCTCAGTAATAGAGCACTTCCTCATCATGTCCAAGGCTCTGCTAATCCCCAGCACCAAAAAACCACCAAGTCTTTGCCAGGCTAAAGCAAGTAAATTAGGACTTGTCTGATGTGTTCTAAGGTAATTTTGTTAAAACCCTAGGGGGGTTAAAAAAAAAAAAAAAACAGACTGTCATTTCTCTTCATTTTTCTAGTGTTCTAGAGAATGTCAAGATTTTATAGTGATGCTCTATGCCTTCCCTAATGAGAAAACTATTAAAAAAAAAAAAAAAACAACCTTCTAATTATAGGAGGAAGACCAATGAGCAAAAGGTCGAGATTGTGATATTTCCTTTCATGTCTCCTGCAGATCTCCTACTGGCTCCCTCCCTCTCGTCATGCATCTTGCTAATGGACAGACCATGCCTGTGCTGCCAGGGCCTCCAGTTCAGATGCCTTCTGTTATTTCGGTAAGCTTTGTAGTTAGGGCAGCCAAACCTGCCAGCACACTGATCCCTCCCTTCCACCTGAATGATCATAACCAGAGGACCCCCAGGGAAATGTGGGCCTGGACTGTATTAGTTGTATGTGGCAGTCTGCCCAAACTCTTCACTAACCTCTGCCAGTCCAACACTGTGAAACACTAGACAAAGACTCATCTGGACAATTGGCTTCTAGTCAAGCAGTTAATTTTGCCAACCTGCTGATTGGTTGATTTCACTTGGCACATAGCTTCTCCAGCATTGCTCACCACTTTCCTAAAGATATACCTCCAGCCCTTCCCACAGAAAATGTCCCACACTAAAGAATGAAATTCTTTACTCTGTCACACTCCTTAGGTAAGATATTTCCCAGGCTATTCCTGCATGTCCTGTGAGCAGGTTATACAGAACAGGCCCTGACATGCCAATCTCAAAACCACTTAATTTGGGAAAAACCAATACTACCACGTCTCTTTCTCTTGATTTAGCTGGCCAGACCTGTGTCCATGGTGCCCAACATTCCTGGTATACCTGGCCCACCAGTTAACAGTAGTGGCTCCATTTCTCCATCTGGCCACCCTATGCCATCAGAAGCCAAGATGGTGAGTACATCCTGGCCTAGAGCAATACTGGCCTTCTAAAAGTAGTAGTATCAGACTAGATTTTTCAAGTGAACTGGACAAAGGAGCCTTCTGAAGCTTGCATACCTAAAGACATCCTGCTGTGAGGCTTGGGAAAGAAAAGACCTGATTCCTAAGTCTCCTGTCCCTACCCTTGCAGCCTGGCACAGGTCATGGGACAGGAAGAAACAGCACAGATTGTTTGGAATGGAACAGTTGCCATTTCAGTTCCAGGGTGACAGATGGAGGGGGTGAGTAGGCAGGAGAGCTGGCCAAGTGGTGAATAGCTGTGTAACCAGCATCTGGCCAGGTTCCAGAAAGGAATTTTCATCTGGGTCCTATTGCTTCCACAAGCCCCCATCCCCAGCTGTGTCAGGATGACAGCCAGGGAACAGAGTAGGCATTTTAGGGGTCCAGGTGCACACTTTCTCTCCATCATTGTCTTTTAGTTCCTCTGTTAAGAGAAAATTGGAGTGAGAATTTTAAGTATAAGGTCAGTAATAAAATATAAGTTCTTTTCCTTGACAAAATCTTACCCTTACCCTTTAACACAATCTTTCCACACAGAGACTAAAAGCCACTCTGACCCACCAAGTCTCTTCAGTCAATGGAGGTTGTGGAATGGTGGTGGGTACTGCCAGCACCATGGTGACAGCCCGTCCAGAGCAGAACCAGATCCTCATCCAGCACCCTGATACCCCATCCCCTGCCCAGCCACAGGTCAGTTGTGCCCTTGGAGGGGAGAACAAGATGTGTTGCCCTTATTTTTTATGTTGTATCTGTTTGCAAGAAGCATGAACTGAGAGAAGAATGGATTTAACTTCCCAGGTATCCTGCTACTTTGGATGTTTTTGGTAGGATGACTACAGTGAAACAAACTATTGTTTACCTACCTTTGTGTTAGACATAAATGCAAGCAGTGTGAATTATGCAGGGCTGTTACAGAGAAGGCCTCTATATTTTTTCCCACATGAGTTATAGCCTAATGTAGATGCTGAGCTGATGGAGACTCACATGAAGCCACATTGAGCACTTAACAAAGGAGGCTTCTGTATCTCTTGCTTATCTACTAAGTCATAACAAAATAAGTTACCAGTTACCGGATTAGATTTTAGAACACAAAGTACATTATAAGAATATATTAGTGGTGGCACACGCCTTTAGTCCCAGCACTCGGGAGGCAGGGGCAGGCGGATCTCTGAATTTGAGACCAGCATGGTCTACAAGAGCTAGTTCCAGGACAGCCTCCAAAGCCACAGAGAAACCCTGTCCCAAAAAACCAAAAAAATCAATACAATATTATGTTACAGTAGTAAAATAGATAGCTCATTAAAAGTAAGGAAACATAGAAAAAAACCTCCTCAATACCAATCCAATAGTCCCTTTTTATCAAAAAGAAATGAAAATTTAAAAAAATTTAAAAGTCAGCAGAGGTCCCATGTAGTTGCCCAATCTCTTCCCAAAGAGGGATTCTTTAGGAACTGAATGGCTTTGGTTTTCATAATTGTCCGCACTGGACAGGTGATTGGTTTCTAGAGTTACATTCATTGCCGAGTCTCTCTTGTACTGATGTCACCACCTGCTTCATCAGCACTGCCACATGTCCAGGCATTCCATGGCCATATGCTGCCTTAACCCTTGGCCAACAACATGAGCTTTCATTTGTGTTTTCTTCTTGAAAGCTAAGGCTTCTGACCATTCTGACCCCCCTCCCCCAAGCCAGCCAGTCTCTGGAGATAAAGTAGTATCTCTTGCCTGAGCTGGGCTTTTCCTTTTTTTATATTTTTGGCTTTGACCCCCCCCCCCCCCCCCCGTCCTCTCTCTGCTCTTTTTCTCTTTTTTTTTTTTTTTTTTTTTTTTTTTTTTTTTTTTTGAGACATGATTTCTCTGTTTCCCTGGCTGTCCTGGAACTTTGTAAACCAGTCTGGCCTCAGCTTTAACCTCAAGAGATCTACCTGCCCTGCCTACTGAGTGCTAGGATTAAAGGTGTGCACCACCACTGCCTGGCCTACCACAGCCTCTTGATAGCTGAGATTAAAAGCAGGTACCATGCCTGCCTGGGTTTCTTGAAGAAAGGCTCTCCTCAGTACTAGGATCCAAGCAGGACCTTTAGTTCATTCTGTGAGTTAGAAACTCCCTAATTTTTTCTTTGAAAAGACAATACCAGTCTAAATAAAATCATGTCTTTATTACTGGAGAACATAATTCAGTAGAGCCTAAAGTAGATTTTCTTTTGTTGGTTTTGGTTTTTTGAGACAGGGTCTTACTATGTAACTGAGTCCTAAAACTCACTCTGTAGCCCAGGCTGGTGTCAAACTCATAGAGATCTGCCTGTTTCTGCTTCCCAAGCGCGCCTTTCTTGTGGTTGTGGTAGCTCCTGCTTGTCTTTATGCAGCTGATTATTAGCATTAGGAAAATACTAACCTAGATACTCAAATTAAAAACTAATTTAGAGGCTACAAGATGGATCAGTGAAAAGAGATGCTCACCACCAACACTGATAACCTGAGCTCCATCTTCCAAACTCACATGAAGGTGGAAGGAGAGAACTGACTCTACAAACGTGTATTCTGACATCTACAAACACCATGACATACACACATGCACACATATAAATAATACAAATTAATAATAATAATAACATATGATTTTTTTTAATTTTAAAAAAGAATTTACATGTCGGGCGTTGGTGGCACTCGCCTTTAATCCCAGCACTCGGGAGGCAGAGGCAGGCGGATCTCTGTGAGTTCGAGGCCAGCCTGTTCTCCAGAGCGAGTGCCAGGATAGGCTCCAAAGTTACACAGAGAAACCCTGTCTCGAAAAACCAAAAAAAAAAACTTACTTTCGGCATTGTCATGAAATTGATGTGCCTTCTCTGTATATATGTCAACTAACAGAATGGAAAGATAATCCAAAGTGCTTTAGTGCAAAGGGAGTTTAAAAAAACAAGACCGTTGGGCAATGGTGGTGCACACCTTCGAAGCACTGGGGAGGCAGAAGCAGGACGTTCTCTATAAACTCAAGGCCAGCCTGGTCTACAGAGCGAGTTCCAGGACAGCCAAGGCTACACAAAGAAACCCTGTCTCACAAAAAACAAAAAAGACAAGCAAACAAAAAAGGACACTGAGTCAAAAAAGGAAAGAGGAGAGACAGGAAGAGAAGGAAAGATAGCAAGTGGGCCTTGTTGCACAGGCCTGTAATCCAAGCTGTTTAGAGTAAGACAGAGGAACAGCAATCTCAAGAGTTCCAGCATTTGGGGATAGAGCAAGGAGGAGCAGGAGGTCAAGGTTATCTGGGACTCTGGAATGAGTGAAGACCAGACTCTGGAGTGAGTGGAAGACCAACAAAGAGGTAGCATTGTAGGTTCAGTTCCCAGGCCCAAAAGAAAACAAAGCAAAACAAACTCCTAAATGATCTTAGTTTCATTTCTGTGTCTCAGAAATAATCAGTTTCCAACAGAACTGTGGCTAGTCTGCATGTGTACTGAGAGGACTGAGAGATGGGAGGTGGGATAGGAAGCTAGTAGACATAGTGATGGGACTTGGTGTGATTGCCAGATCTTTACCAGCCCTTACTAATCTACCTAGCTCAGCTTTGATTTGGAAAGAATTATTTTCCTATCAAGGACTTCTCTATTCTGCCAAGGGATGAAGTTAGAAATTGGTGCCTGTGAATCCCAGCACTCTGGATGCCTAAGCAGAAGGACCAAAATTCAGAGTCTGCCTGGGCTGTATACCAAGAATGTTCAAAGACAAACCAGAAAAAGGAAAAGAAAAATGTATTCTTCTTTCCTGGTCAACAGGTCTCTCCAGCTCAGCCCACCCCTAGCACTGGGGGACGACGTCGGCGCACAGTAGATGAAGATCCAGATGAGCGTCGGCAGCGATTTTTAGAGCGAAACCGAGCTGCAGCCTCCCGGTGCCGCCAAAAGCGGAAGCTGTGGGTGTCCTCCCTGGAAAAGAAGGCAGAAGAACTTACTTCTCAGAACATTCAGCTGAGTGTGAGTGGGTGATTGTTGGGATTGTAGAATCTGGAGAGCAGGGCCACATCTGGAAACAGTGCAGTAGTAGAACAGAGGATGGATGTTATTTAATTAGGCTAGATCCAGAAGTGTTACAGGAAGTGTAAACGTCCCATAATAGTCAGGATTGAAACTCTTCCCCTAGCAATTGAGAAAAAGACTATCTCCTTCCAGATCTTCCACTAGCACAAGTCATTCAGAGAGCCATTTGGAGGCTAGGGTTATAGCTCAGACAGAATGCTCAGCAGTCAGAATGGAGAGAAGGCAGGAGTGGAGACATAGACCCATCTTGAAGGAAATCAGATTAAGTACCCCCAGGGTGTGCTCTCTTAAATCATCAATAGAACCTGACTGGAGAGAACTGTTAGAGAACACCTGATGAGAAATTAGTTCACTCCAACTATTGTAGCTGTCTTAATTATAGTTTCTATTACTATGAAGAGACGCCATGACCACAGCAACTCATAAAGGAAAACATTTAATTGGGGGTATCTTACAGGTTCAGAGGTTTAGTCTGTTATTGTCATGGTGGAAAGCATGAACGGCACCCAGGCAGACATGGGTGGTGGAGGAGCTGAGAGTTCTGCTTCTGGATTGGCAGGCAGGAGGAAGAAAGAGTGAGCCACTGGGCCTGGCTTGAGCTTTTGAGCCTCAGAGTCCACCCCCCACCCCACCCCCACACACACACCCCACATACACTTCCTCCAACAAGGCCACACCTCCTTATAGTGCCACTCCCTATGGGCCTATGGGGGCCATTTTTATTCAAACCACCACAGTAGGTTAGTTAATAAAAGAGAAAAAAAAGCTGGTTGTGGTGGCACACGCCAGGAGGATTTGCTGAAGGAGGCAGAGGCAGGCGGATCTCTGTGAGTTCGAGGCCAGCCTGGTCTCCAGAGCGAGTGCCAGGACAGCCTCCAAAGCCACAGAGAAACCCTGTCTCGAAAAACCAAAAGAGAGAGAGAGAGAGAGAGAGAGACACTTGAATACAAAATTATAATCCAAGCATTCTCTTGAATATTATTTTCCCTTCTTTGGTTTTGTTTTCTTAAAGTTTCTTTTATGGGACAGTGAGATGACAACCTGAATTCTACCTTTGGACCCACATAGTGAAATGAGAGAACCTACTCCTATAAGTTGTCCTTTGATCTCCACACATGCACAGTAAGGCATGCATGTGCCCACCACATACATATATACACATAATGTATAAATACACACAATAAATAAAATAAAATTTAAGAAGGGGTCAGGAGAATGCCTCGGTGGAAAAGTGCTTGCTGCCATGTCTAATGACTTGAATGTGATTTTTCAGATCCCACTTCTTATCCTGATTCTCTCCGTCTCCCTCTCCCGCTCCTGCTCCCTTCCCCCTCTCTCCCTCTCCCCCCTCTCCCTTTCTCACTCTCTCTCTCACTCTCTCTCTCTCTCTCTCTCTCTCTCTCACACACACACACACTGTGATACGCACATGTGCACACCCATACACACAAAATAAACTTTAAAAAAGAATACTTTGTATTTATGCTTTGACAATTTCCTGCATGTATACAGTGGGGTTTTTTTGTTTGTTTGGGATTTTTTTTTGTTTTGTTTTGTTTAGGTTTTTTGGTTTTTCAAGAAGG